GAAAACAAACAAAATAAGGATACAACAAAACCAGCAACTAAGGATGAAGGTTAAATCCTCTGAACCACATTGCTTACATTAGATTCCACTTTCAGCTGGACCACGAGGCAAGAACAATGCTTAGCATTTCAAAAGGTGTGCTGTGCACACACATCACTCATACCACTGATCTTTGCTGTGTGCATTCAAGAGTTAACAAACAATTCCTGAGTATAATTCTGTGAGGGGAAAAACTATGTGGATAAAATAAAGATTTCTGCTGTGCATGAGGATAGCTAATTTTCTCCTGGTAAGTTCCAAGTATGGTATTTAGAAGCAAGCCAGTGGCATTCCAAACATACTGAACACTTCCCTAAATAAACTTTGATGAATTCAGGTCGAAGACCTGTTTTCCAGCAACAGTGACACAGGACATAGCTGTGCCAGGAATCTTGAGAACTAGAGAGCCTCAGACTGACCAGTTTCTGGTTCTCCTTCATGTCCTGAGAATATGACTTCCAAAGAGTGCTTTTTTCACAGGGACCTAGGAGTCCTGCTCTGACAAAAGAAAATTAAGTCATAATCCTGTGAAAATTTACACATGTTTACAAAGGGATCTTGAATCAAGGGATATGAGTTGGCAGCTTCTGAAAGTCTGGAAGATCATAGAATCAGCTGGGTTGGAAAGGACCTCTGAGATCATCAAGTCCAACCCTTGATCCACTATCACCACAGTTACTAAACCATGGCACTAAGTGCCACATCCAGTCTTGCCTTAAAAACCTCCAGGGATGGAAAATCCACTGCTTTTCTGGGCAGCCCACTCTGATGCCTGATTATCCTCTCTGTAAAGAATTTCTTTCTAACATCCAGCCTAAACCTCCTCTGACAGAGCTTGAGACCATGCCCTCTTGTCGATAGCTGCCTGGGAAAAGAGACCAACCCCCACCTGGCTACAACCTCCTTTCAAGTAGTTGTAGAGAGTGATGAGGTCTCCCTTGAGCCTTCTCTTCTCCAGGCTAAACAACCCCAGCTCCCTCAGCCTTTCCTCATAGGGCTTGTGTTCAAGTCCCTTCACCAGCCTGGTTGCTCTTCTCTGGATAAAGATAAATGAGAAATGAGAAAAATGGCAAAGGTCTCCAATAGCTTAGCTTAGAGAAAGCTCCTACCATACATGAGTGCGTCATCTTTGGAAAGGGCTGATTGTGGTTTAAGAGTGAGCAAGAAGTCTGGCCTGCATGGCTTCAGTGGAAGCTGATGCCTGTTTCAGGGACTTCATGTAGAAGCAAACTACTGCTTGTTGTGCAAGTAGAATTGGCAGTGCAGCAAGGGGGGACTCATGCTGAAGCATCATTGGGGAATTTCCTTGATGCCAAGACTTGAAGGAAAGAATGAAGTGGGGATGGCTGTAACCTGGGATCAGTGGGTACTTTTTTCCTCATTGATAACATCTGCTCCTCTCAGGGCGTTTGGCTGTTGACTGTGTGGATATAGAGGACGGTTTATTGTCTTATCTATATTTAATAGGTGTTTTTCAAGGTTCACATTAAAAAGAAAGCAAAAAAACCACCACCTTTATTGACTAATGTACCTTTAACAGAGAAGAATCTCTTCTCCCCTCCTTACTCTATTTATGGGAACTGCTGGCTATACTAAATATTATCTTTGAAAACATCTCTGTTTAAACTTAATCCTTGAATAACCCTTCAGCCCAGGCTGTGGCATGTGAGATGGGTCTGAAATATTCTTGCTCTGCATATTTGTGCTACTTACTCTCAGCTTCTGCCTCATTGTTTCTTGCAGAAACCAGCCCATTCCTTAATGCTGTGTGTACACAGGGAATCGCTTTGATTCACGAGCCCATGAATTGTTAAGCTCTATCCCCAAGAGTATGTCTCTGATAATGTGTGTGCTCTACAGTGCACTCCAGTTAACTTCTGGCGGTGGAGGCCTGGAGAGTTGTTATGGAAGCTGCTTCCCCCTGAGCTGTAGGTATAAGGAATGTGCTAAAACAACAGTCAATTTTCAGAGAATTGAATGTCTGTCTAAATAGCTTCCAAACCACCAGCTCTTCTCTGGGAAGAAAAGATACTTTAACTAGTCAGAATCTCTTTCATCTTATAATTTTCCCAAGGAACAGTTAAGGCTGGGAACAAGTTCCGTAACTTGGCTGAAGCCTAAGGGAGGATCCTTAAAAGCAGTACCTGTGCCCTTTGTCTCATAATAATTCTGAGGGGTTTGTCCATGCTTTTGTCCACTAAATGGGCCAGCTACCCTTGTGTCTCCTTCAAATCCCACACTGAACTAAATCAGCTTAGTGGGATGTTACTATAGACATAGCAGCAGCAATTTACAGCATTCCTGGTGGGGTGGCCCCAGGCTTCTGGCAGACAGGATCCCTGAAAACCTGGGATTTGAGTGATTTGGTAGTTGAAGAGAGATGGGGAAACGATGGCCAATTTTAGAAGAAAGGAGAGGAGCAGTGCTATGCTTTGGAGCAATCTGTTAGTGAATCAAGAATAAGCAATAATTGATTCCCTCAGATGATATTCTTGCTTTAGTTATCTTTAACTTGTTTGCTGTTCAGAGACCAGAACTGGACTGCTGACTTCCAGGTGCAGTCTTTGAGAAAGGAGAACGCCTCTGGGGCAAGGTAGGACATCTCAGGTGGCTCAGCAAATTCTGTGATAATTGCATGCCCTCTTCCCTACCTCTCCTTCTGGCCCCTGATATGTCACCTGGCATGCACTGTTTCAGGGGCAGGGAGGGCCACCTTTAAAAGATACCTTACCAAGACTTTCAGAGTTTGTTATATTAATGAGGCTTTGTTATATTGGAATGGGGAGGGCAGACCTGTCTTGATCTAATCAGAAGAGCATTTGTTGAAGATGGTGCATTGCTTTGTCAGAGCTGTGATTCTGTGTTGAGCAGTGACTCTTGGAAGTAAGCAGCCCTCTGTTGGCCTGGAGTATAGGCCAGATGCTGGCTTCTTCCAGTTGAATATAAACTTAAATTCCATGCGAGAGATCTGACTTGAGAGGAGGGGGCAGATATACGGATTAACTGGCTTAGCTTTCTTCCCACGGAGTATTTCTTCATTCTATAGTCTAATTGTTGCTGAAGGAGTCCTAGCACGTAAGTGAAAGGATTGTTATTCCTTTCTGCACATTGGGAGTTTGCTGAACAAAGCATTGGCTCCTTATCTGTGGAAGACATGAGCAATCTATAGGCTGTGCTACAGGTATAGTGGGATAGATTCACTTCTCTCCTTCACCCTCCAAATGAAGCAAGAAACAAAAGGGGTAGACACGCAGTTTATTGTAGCAGTAGCTCCAGACTTGCCACATGACACTTTAAATATCATCTTGAAATGACATTTCAAGGCAGGATGTACACAGACAAAGAATTCGTCTTTGATAGAGTCTAACTGACTTGAAAGATTCAAATTTTAAAGATAACCCTTTTGTGAAGTAAATATGAGCATAGTAGTGACATGGAACTAAGGAAAAACCCTCTTTTCACTAGGATGATTGCCAGGTTTAACAGCAAGTCTGCATATTTCCTCCCATAATGCAGCTACTGTTTTGACTGAGTAATTGGAAATGTGAGTTATGGCTCTTTAAGTATGTGTTTCTCTGGTCAGTGCTGGTGTATTGCTTTCATCTCAGAAGTACCTAAGGATCTGAAAGTCATACTGCCTTCCCCAGTAGCAGGAATGCCAATGCAAGTGTCCCATCCATTCTTAGAGGGTACAAAATTGTAGAATACCCACCTCTGCGCTTCTCTAATCTGTTTGGAGTTATCCAGCAGTTTTGAATGTCTTTGGGAAACTTGACCAAAGGAAAAAACCTAATCCCTCTTCAGTATGAATATTCATTTATGTGAAGAAGCTGTGACTGAATGGGGTTTCCCTCAAAACTAAATTATTCTTGTTGTCAAGTGTAAAAAACCCATTAATTTCTGAAATTTTTGTTTCCACCTGGGAGCTTTATATTAGAAAGCAATAGCATGGTAAAGTGTTGGAATGTGTCTTCAAGTGAGGTTTTTATAGTTGGTTTTATTTTGTTGGTTGATTTAGTTTTTTTCCAGGGTGTTTTTTCTTTGGTTGGTTTTTTATTTCATCGTTCACACAGTTGTCTTTATACCAGTGCTCTCCTTCAGTACACACAGACTGTTAGTCTCAACTTTCCTTCATTAGTTTGGATTTATGCATGACACTGTTATTCATCCAGGTCCAAAGTTATCATTGGAGGTCATGCAGGTTAAAACCATAGGTTGGTGGAATATGTGTTTGGCTGGGTCTTAATTAAAAATAAGGCTTCAGTGTTGTGCTTGCTTGTATTTCCCAGCTGTGCTTTGTTTGTGTACGAGTGTTTTCGCTGTGACAGTGTCTGCTAGGCTATTGGTGAATCCCTCAGTCCTCAGGTATGAGCAGTGTCATTTCCTGCAGTTTTAATTGCTGTGCTCTGTACTGTCAGAACATTATACCTGAAGTTTGCCAGTTGTTTTACATTCCTTCTCCTAAGTGTGTGTTTTCCTGCTGGCTGGCTGTCAGGTTTGCTGTACCTCTCCAGGTGACTGAAGAAGCATTTGATTTATTTATCTTAACTGTCTAGTACAGTTTGCTGTGTCTTGGAGACTTTCTGAAAAGTGGTGGGAGACTGGCTCTCTTGAAGATATTTTGAGACAAGTCCTCCAGATGCTGTGTCCTCTGGGACTGTCTTGAAAGGAAAAGCTAAAATTAATTGTGGGGTAGGCAGTCTTCACATCTGAAACATTAGCAGGTAAGTGAAAAGTTATGGTCTCGTATCTATAATGCAGCTCCTTTTAGTATTTCCTGTGTAGAAGATTGCCTTTTCTGCTCATGTTACCTTGTGAACTGTGAATACTTGGTAAAATTCCTAAGGGCTAGAACATGTAAAAGATTACTTTTTGTTTCTAAATTTCTCCTTTCCCTCTCCAGGGTTGTAGGTGTTTGGCTCAACACTTACTGTTTCTTGCCTTGTCTTTGTTTTTTGTAGACCAAGGTGCTCGTGATCCACCAGATCCTTCAGATTTTTTTTTTAAAAGAAACTTTGGTGGGTAAAAGATGTGCCATGGAATGGTAGCACCAAAGAGCAACACAGGATCGTCTCTTGCCTTGACTAACCATGGATTGTTTCGTCTGCTAATTATCTTTGGTACCTTTATCTTGGAAGCAGAGGCCACAGGTAAGTGAAACCTCTATATATGCTTCAGGGATGGGGTGTATAAGTATGGGGGTGGCCTTATATTGTTATGGGAAAGCTAGTGATGGTTGATGCATTTGTACACACCTCTCAGTACTCACAGGAAAAAAATTCCATCACTTGTTAAGCAGAGTGCAGTGTCTGAACTGAACGAGTCTTGCATATTAGTAAAGAAGTGCTTGTCATTTTTCCTATAGTTTTGATTCCCACTGTTTTTTTCCCCTTCAATTCTCATCCCTTCACTGCAGCTGGGGGCACTTGGACCATCTCAAGAGAATGGACCATATTTTGGTTGAATGAGATTCTAGTGTAGACAGTGTTATCTGTGTGCCCTATAGCAACTGTTCATGTGAAGTAATAGAAGCAGAGACTGTCTTCAGCTCTTTGCACAGCTTGTGAATCTGTTCAGTGTTTCCTTGTGTGCTGTCTTCTGACAGCTCAGTACCTGCTACCTGCATCCCTCTGTTGGTTCTTCTTTTCAGATTAAGATTTCCCTCTTTCTTGATGTTTCCGTGATGGTTAAATGTTGTGAATAGTGTAAATAGCACTGGAATGGGATTATATGTCATCAGAGATGAGGGATCTGCCTTTTAGAAATGAGTGAAAGAAGAAAATATACCGGATGCTCGGAAGGTAGTACGTGATATGAAGTATGTGGTTGTTTACCTGAAGTATGTCTTTTTTGCCTCAGACCAGCCATGATCTATTCTTTGTCTGTAGAGAGATGCCTGGTCATAGGTGGCATGAGATGGAAGGAATAACTTTGTGTGCTTTTGCATAGAGCTTTGAAGGAGGTTAGTCCCAAGAAGGCACATGGTTTTGACTTCCACAGCTGTTGCAATATGGAACAATAACTGAACAATAGCTTGCTTTTTAAAAGAAAACCTCAGTTCTTGACATAACTTTAAAAAGTTCTATTTATCTGACATACTGTGGCACCTGAAAAGGTTGCATGACCAACGCTCCTCAGCATCAGTGAAGACTGAATTGGCCTCTGTGTGGTAGAGCAGAATAAACACTAGCTGCCAGATGCACTCACAGGTGAGGTGATCTTGTATGGAAAAGCCTGCTGGTGCTGAAAACTGCTGGATAAGTTGTTGATTTCCTTTTAGTACTTCTGGCTCTTTGAGTTGGAAGGGAGAGGCTGCTGAAATCAGGTATTCCAGACCTGTATGTCTTAACTAGTCTGATTTTGGTTTTGTAGGTAATGCAGGGTGGGGGTGGCACACCTGAGAGTGACAAATTGGCACGAACAGTTACTGACAGTAGCAAAGGCACAAGGCCTTTTTGTATCTGGTTTGTCCTTGTTTTTTTTTAGCCTTGCTGCTGTTGGTGATAGTGTCACTGCCTCATTTTAGATGTAGGCCTATCAGATATGCCTCCCAGCCTGGGTCTGGAGATGGGCACCTTCCCCATCTGAAACTTCCATTACACACTGCAGCACCTTCAGTTGAGTCTGTAATCAGTATGCAAATACCATGTGCTGCACGCAGCTGCTGGATAGGGAAAAGCTGCCACAATACTGGAAGCCTTTTCAATATCGTTTTTGAGGCATCCAGTAACATCACAAAAGCACTAGTTAAGCATGTCAGAAGACCCAAGAGTGGTTCTTCATTGTGTTTCCCTTTCTCTGTTCTTTTTGCTTCAGGATCTGAGGCAAGCTGTGGTGAACTGATGAAGGCAGATCATCAGCTAAATAGGATTATAGTGGCTAGGCATGAACCACTTCCTGTAGGGGAAGTGAGAAACTGGAGGGGGGGCCAGGATCATAGCAGAGGGCAAGAAATGCAGGGTCAAAAATTCTGGGGAAGGGCCTGCTAAGAAGTGCTTCCACATATGGGTTTTCTGAGACTGGGAGGTAGCAACCCAACTGCCAGATGCTGGGAGGGACGGGGGTGCTCAGCAATGCGTCATGGGCCCAGGGAGCTGCACCTGCAGCAGCACGCCAGCCTTGAGTAACATTAATGAGCAAGTCAGCTGAGGAGCGCAGAGCCAGATGGAGAAACAAAGAGTACTGTTGAGGCGCTTGGAAAATCATCTTTCCCTCATCTTTGTCCCCCAGCCACCTCGCCATCCTCACTTCATTACTTTACATAGCGAAGTCATTCAGAGCAAGCAGAGCAAAGCGATGTTAACATGAAGCAAGATAAGCATTACTGCCAAGAGATTTAATACAATATCTTGAATGTGGGGCCAGTGTGACATGTTCACAATTGCTACAAAAGCTGAAGAATGTTCTCGTAAAAAGACATACAAGCATGGAGACAATGGCTGGCTCAGCTCTGAGTGAGAAAGCAGAGCTTGTGGTTCTTGTGTATAAAACCATATGAGGTATATTATATTGCAGTAATTTTGCTTGAGTTCCAGGAAGCTTAGAGATATATTCATGATTTGGACAGAAATGTGTTCTCTTTGTCATGTGGTTAATGCAGAGGGCAGACTCATTTTCAGTCAGCAAGCATCTGCTCTGTCCTCTAGTAATGAATTGATTTTATTTATGGATGGATTTTTAAGAAAAATTCTTAAACATTTTGTCTCAAGCAATCTATCCTAATATCCTCTAGTGCCATGAGACGAATATGATAAGTTGCTTAGTCACTAAGCACACTGCAGAATTTGGGGAAACTGCTCCCTCTTCGTGGGAAGATATCCATGAATATAAAAATAACCGCTGCACATATTTTAATACAAAACAAGTGCAGCACTTGGTGATGTGCAAACAGTGAAGCCATGCCAGCAGAGAATTTATGGAAATTTGAGTGTTGTTCAGAAATATTTTTTTAGCTTTATCACCATTTTACCTTTTTTCCCTATCTGGCAAGTTCTCCAAGATTATTTGGGGGAAATAATGGAATTACAAGGCTAGGAGACTTGGAAAGCTCTTCAGTAATACTGAGGCTTAGATCTTTGTCTGTCTCTTCTGTTTTCTTTGAGGGTTCATCTGGAATGTAGCTAACAGCCAGGATGCTTAGTAGATAGAGATGGGGAATTTTTAAGTGTTGGAGAGGAGCAATGACAACCTTTCTCTCTGCATTTCTACAGATAACACTTCTCCATTCTTTCTTTGTTGCTGTGATTTTTATTTTTTTTTTAAATCCCCCCCTTCCTCCTCCTGTTTCTGTTCCTTAAGGTTATCCCCACGCTCTCAAAGGCCTTGTGTTTATATCTCTTTCACAATGAGATGAATGTGTGGCCAGGCTATTTTTGGAAGAATGACAGTGGATCAGATTAAGTTGTTCATTAAATTTTAACATGTAGTCTGTAAAATACTCTGAAAGCTTCCTATGATTTATGTTCTAAATGGTGTAATCTTTCTTGGATGCATAACTAGCTCTGTCAGAAACCTATCAAAACATAGGTTGGGCTTTTCATTATTGACAATAGCATCACCTGGTCCTGGGAAATGCGAGTAAATGTGTTGGTAAAAATATTAAACATCCTGAATTAAGCAAATATCAATACCCATAAAGGAGAGAGTTTAAACATTAACCTTTAAAAATTAACAGTAATGCAGGCTCAGTAAATCTTAAGTCCATTTAGATTTAGACACAGCCTGATTTTTGTTGACTGCGCATGTGAAATGGTATAAAGCTAGCTCTTTAATTTTTAAGATTGCCATAGAAGTCATAAACTGAGCTTGAATAAAGTGAAACAACTTCATTCCTGTGTGTTGTCTCTGACGCAAATGCAGGCAATCTGCTGCTTGCTGTTGTAAGGTCTTTTCAGTGCCAAGGTTATTCTGCACAGAAGCTCTTGGATACTGCTGGTATTTGTTTGCATTGCTTAGAACAGCTTGTTAGAGCGCACTTCAGTCTTTGAGCAGATTCAGACTTGTTCCTACTCTCTGGGAATCTGTGCAAAGCAGAGGTTTTCTTTGACACTGATTATGCAGCTGGAAGGAAGGCATTAATATAGTTAGGGGTGAATTCAGTGCTCATGAAAACAAGGACACTATAGCATTGGATGGCCAGACAGAAATGTGGGGAGGTGTCACGCATGAACAGGGGATCCTGATTCTAACCTGTATACTTCACGTAAGTGTAGGTTTTGAGAAATTATAGGGTCATCCCAAAGCAGTGTGGTGTTCTCCTTGGAGGGAAGGGGAGCATTTTCAGGTGCAATTCCTCTTTCCAGTCCCTTTGGAGAACTTAATAAGAACAGAGGGGTATGGAAGAGCATGGTAAGGAGCTGCAGAATAATGGCCAGGCCACAAAGGTGGCTAGGAAGCAGATGCAGACAGGTCTAGAATTAGACTATTCAAGTTATAGTATTCACACTGCTACCACACTGATCCATGCAGTGTTATTTAAGTAACTGCCTTGAAGGGAGTAATAGGGATCTCAAGAAGCCACATAACTTGTTTAATTTTAACCAGTTCTAGTGGCTGAAGGATGAATTAAAGCTTTTTTAACTAACTGCTGGTTCAAACCATGATAGCTTAATAATAATCCTGAATTTTTCTTTTGTCTATCCTAGATTTGCTTAGAAAACCCAAAGGACCTGCATGTGAGTAAACTTATATTCACTGCTGTACTGTGAGAAATGAGTGTGGTATTTTACTGGTTAACATAAGCACCTGTGAGCTAGGGTTCCCATTGTAATTCTTGTTGTGTTGGATAGGCTAAGATTCATCCTTATGTCCCATTGCCATTTTTGACCCTTGTATTTGGGAAAGATGGCTGCCCTCAGTTTGAGAGGAAGATCAGCTTCATCTGTTTCACTGTGCTTGAAGGGATCCGTATGCCTTCTATAGTAACTTCAAATGACTCAAGAAAACAAGAAATCAGAATAAATACTTCATTAAAATGGAGAGAGAGATGCTGCTTGTGAGAGTTTTGAGGCCAGCAGAGTATTGAGAGGACAAGGCAGGACAGCCTGAGGCAAAAAATTTTTTTCCTTTAATCAAGAAAAGTTAATATCTAATCACAGGCCATGAATCTTGATCTTTTCCATTGGATACTCCTGCTTGTTGTTTCATGTGTTCAGAAAAAGTCTAAAATCTTTCTGGTGTGCATGTTATGGATGAATGCAACTTTGGAAGGAGTTGGGAAGCTTCTTTGGCTTCCTTATCTGTACCAAATATATAAAATTTTCTGTAGATCTTTGTTAAACTCTGAAATTTGATCTATTCAGTCTGAACTTTCCCTTCTCAAAAAAAGACTAATACGGGAACAAAGTCTGAGGGGAATGTATTCATAATGAGGAATTTAAAGGTGTAGGAGAGAAATTTTACCAACTGCGAAATTTTGCTCTTTAGAAAGTGAGAGTTAAGAGCTGATGGAATACTCTGAATCACCAATTTTTATTCAATGTCTTAATTTTACTCCTGAGAAGATGATCACACACATAGTACTAAGGGGCTTTCAATTCTTGGCCATGGTTGCTAGCAGGAAAATAGCTGTTTCTGGAAAAACCTCAAGAGTTGTCTGGTCCAATTCACCCTAGCTTCTTGGTTTAGAATGAGAATGATGGAAACTGGTAGGAACTTTGTTGTAGAGGGAAGCAGGAGGGGTGCTGAACAGCATTTGTTCCTCAAGAGAAATTACTTGTGAACGACAGTGCAGGTTCTTACCTCATCATCGTCCTGGTGTGCTTTCACTGCTGCCTGCAAGGGTGAAGATGCAGACTTCTCTATCTTCTTACGCAGCTTCCTTCTATCACTGAGTCCTTCTTCTTTATCTGCTTGAGCCAGTTGTTTGGGAAGAGTTTGAGTTTGTTTGTCATATCATGGGAAAAGTCTTGGTAGTGGGATAGAAGAAAGTTTGCTTGCTATCACCTTTTGCCATTTGACAATTCCTTTCCTATTTCTGTCTCTTTTGAATCTTACATTGGTTACCATTGCAATGGAGACATTGTGTTTTTAGGATATGTGGAATGTTTCTCGTCTGTCTAACCCATGTCTGCCATTGCTTCTTCATCCCTTATGTTAAGCTGTAGCACCACAAGCAGCATGGTGTTTATGCTGCCAGCTGTTACTGACTCTGCAGTAGCGATGGCAGAGCAAGAAGTAAATCTGCTCTGGAACTGTGGCAAACTTCAGCCTGGGGTGAATACTGCTGGAATGGCTGGTGTGTGGTGTGTAAAGCTGTGGATATGTCCTCAACATGCTGACATGGGTGATAAGGAAGAAACAAGTGGTAGGGCAAGGTGGAAAGCTGTAGGCTGTTGAGTCTTCAGCTTTTGTTGCTGAATCTGTCAAGGCTCTGTGTTAAACTCATCAATCTGCGTCTATATGAGGATTGCTAAAACACTGCTCATAACAAGCTGCTGATTGTCAGGAGTAAAGATAGGATTCTAAAGGCACTTGAACAGCAAGCTCAGAAATGTTTGTGCCTTTGTGAGAGTAATTGGAAGCCAGTGACAGGATTATGGCTTTGTCTCAAGAGGTTGTATCTGCTTATCTGTTTGTGCTGATCTGCATCTAAAAACAAACACATTTTCCTTTTAATAAACGGAAACCTCTGGGGAGTGTTCGGCTTCCTCTGCAAACAGGAATCCTCCTGAGGCTCTACCTCTGCAAAGTGTTTTACTGGAGTTAGAGGACTGTTGAATTGCTTGCTTCTAAATGTTGTTGAAGGGATTTGAAGTAACCCCTTAGGTATGGGGTTGCTTAGATGAGTTATAGGATGTGCTAGGTGGATTGGGCTAGAGGGGGCTTGTTGCTAAACTGTTGAAGAATAAAATGAGCTTTTGGCCCAGCCTAATCCAGTGATCTTTTTATTATGTAAGGGGGAGAGGAACTTCTGGAGTTCCTGTGCTGAGAAGACTGCCTAGTCTCTAGAGGTTGTGGGGGTGGTCCCTCATTGTTTGTGTACCTTGGCATGGCTGATCTAGATGGAGATGCCTCCTGTGTTCCTTCTCTGTAGGGCCATGCTGTGAATGTGAGGGTGTGTTTATCCCCTTGACATAGTAAGAAGCATTTCAGTGGCAGCATAAGCCAAAGAATTGAACAGTAGGGTAACAAAAGAGCATCTTGAAATCCTGTGGGCTCAGCATTTTAGGTCTAGCCAGTCATCTTAATTAAATTGGGAAAAAGCTCTCTTGTTGGAGAGCAGAAACAAACACTGCTGCTGCTTTTGAGATACATACTTTATTTGTCAGTAAAGTGAGAAATATGTCTTGTTTGAAAAATATTACCTTGCTGTGTAGTGAGATAAGCACCTCTAGTGGATGCTGTTTCGAGTTCTCAGCTGCAGTCACAGACAGGGAAGGAACAGGGTAAGCCTTGACATATGCAGGGTCATAACTGGAAAGTCAGAGGCTGTTGCTGCTTTTCTGGCTAGAAAGAATATTTTTTATGTCCTGAGAAAGATTAACAAGGTGTATAAAGAATATACTGGCATACCCATAGGCACTCATAAAATTGTCCATCAGAAAGAGAATAAAACTGTTTTGTGATCTTATCAATTATGTTGTTTAGGCAACTTTTTTTCCTTCTGCTTTTTCAGCAGATGAAACAACAGATAAAGTTTATCTGATCTGTTTTAGGTAGAACTATAATATTTTGAAGGAAATGGATTTCTCTGGAGACTCTGTAGGCATAGAAAAGGACTAGATGCAAATGGAGATTTGTAGGAAGATGGTAGAATAGACTGAAGGTGAATGAGGATCAGTAGAGAATAATATGCTAGGAAGGAGAGGAGAGGGACAGGAGTGCAGTAAAACAGGAGGGTGGAGTTGTGAAAAATATCCCAGTGGTTTAAAAAGCAAATTAGTGGCTTGGTGGTTAAGTGCAAATCCTAAAAGAAAGTAGTGTTTTAGTTATACAAGCAGATTACAATGGTTGAGAATAGTATGGCCTTGGGAGGGAGGTAAAATATCTGTATATGTGTGTTTATTTTTTAAGGGTTAGGTAAGAGTATCTTAATGCAGGAGGATGCCTTTACAACATCAAGGGTTTGAGGCTTTTCTATATGCTAGAGAGCTGACTAGTGAGACACTGACAGAGAGTTTAAGAACTAGAGGGTTAAAAAGTGTGTGTTCCTTCCAGGACCTGACGCTTCAATGCAGAAATCTGAAGGCAGAAGCAGAACAGGGTGAAGATGCCAGTTACTGGAGCACTGGCTGTGCCTGTCTATAAGTGCTCTAATGTTATGGATGGTGGTCTGAGGAGTGAGAAACTGTGGAAGACCATATAGCAGCTGTGTTTGAAGGAAGATAAAGGGAGGAATTTCAAGTGGAAATTGCTGCCATGTGTAGAGTAGTATCTGACTTTCTCAAAGTTCAGCTTTTCTTAGTTTGTATTTGGTTTTATAGTCAAAAGCTACTTTGCTCTTCTCCCCATCCTGCATTTGTCTATTTCACCCACTGTAGAGAACCCTTTTAGTAAAGAAGATAAGCCTATTAAAGCTGCCTGACCCTTGTCGACACTTCTTGCTGGTGGTGGGGTCTGTATGTCACTGTATGTGTGGAATGAAATTATGTTAGAGTGGGTTAGGGAATTCTGGTGTTGCCTTTATTCTGGACCACCAACATTTATCTCTGGGAAACATAGCTGATGCTGCAGAGGCCTTTAGGAATGTGCTTCTGGTGTGTCATACAAAACTCACAGCTACTGATACAGCAGTTTCTATGGGCCCACTCCACTTGTATCTTCAGAAGAGCTCTCTTTGAAACCCAGAGCCCCAGGGATGCCCCTGTTGTGTAACCTGTCTCCATTAGTTCAAGTTTTAGGTCTTCTGATGTGCTTCTTGAAAAGGACCAGTACTGTAAGAGTTGTGCTGAGCCACACATTATGCTGCAGCACATCTTTATTTCTCTTTTGCACAGGCAAAGTGTGTAAAGTAACTGTAATGCTATATATTATCCTAAAGCTAATCCTTCCATTTTGTCACTCCTTTTGCTTTCCCGTAGCAAAAGTAACAGTTGAATGCTTCTGGAGAACAATCTTCAGGTTTCATTGTAAACACTTTCTTGGGTGTTTACTTAGTTTATAAGATACTAAGAAAACATAAAAGCTTTATGGTATGAGTGTTTAGGTTCAACTGTCACTTTTCTCTCAAAGGAGGAAACTATTAATTTTTTATATCTAAGCTGAAAAATCTGAACATAGTCACAAACTGTGATGACTTTACCTTTGAGTACAAGTCTTAGTGAAATCCATGAAGGTGGCAAGTTTGTTTTTCCAATTTTATTGTTTTAGTCCTCTGCTACTTTCCTGTTCCCAACAAACTAGTCTTGCTGCAAATGTTATTGCCATTAGCCCAAAGTAGGGTTGACCTTTGAGCCTTCCCACTTTGTCTCTTTATTTGCATTTACTTCTCAGAATGTTATCTTTAAGTTGACAACTGTCAACTTAAAGCCTTGATGGTGACTGTTTCTTCCATAGCATTTAGTAAGCTAGACTCCTCTTTTGGAATACTTGGAGGAGATACACAGTGCTGGGAGAGCTGAGCTCTCTATTGGTACGTGATTCCTGTACAATTTTGTCACTGGAGCAGTAATGAAACAAATAGAGGCAGTTGACAAGACTGGCAGTCATGCAGTGTTGGTGCACTTCTGCTGTG